TTGGAAGGTGATGAGCTGGGTGCTCTCTGCTGCCAGGCACTGTGCTGGGCTGCAATCCTGGAGATTAGTTAGAGAGATGATCTAATGATTTTGCTCATCTAACAATAGTTGGTGGTAAAAGGGATATGTAAAATAATGTGTACTGCAGGTCAAACACTACCATTCTGAAGGTAAAGGGCTACAGTAATGCTGCCAGGTAAACAGGTGTAAAGGCACTGGCTACAACAGCTGAACCTTCGTGTCCTTAGAGATTCCTGTCTAAAGCACCTTCCCCTTTCTATCCAGTGGGGTCAGAAGGGTGGGTTTGCACTGGGGTGCCACTGGGGAGCCTGGCTGGGGGTGCACGTAGGAAGAGCCACGAGCCTGCCCTCTTCAGAAAGCCCTGGGAGAAGTTCCTGTGAATTGCCCCAGGGAAATGGAAGAAAGGGCAGCAATTTTCAGWGCTCTGCAGCATGGCAGGACGTGATATTTTAGAGAAGGAGATTGTTAGCTGAGGGACACCTTTCCATTCTAGTGTAAATCCAGTATTGCTTCACCCAGGTCCTGGCTTCAGGCCCTTAAAATGACTGCTGGGGTCAGGATGTGCCCCCAAGCATTTGCAGATTTAGCCAYTGCACAGAAGCGACTGGTGAGTGCTGGAGTATGTATTTGGTCAAAGCAGAGCTGTACAGAGCACTCTGTGTGAAAACCAGAGCAGCTGAAGCCCAGGACAGTGTGCTAACAGCAGGCAGCTTCCCAGAAGCCTTCCTCACAGGGAGCAGGACCATTAATGTCCTGGGCAGACCTGCAGCACCTTGCCATCCCTGAAGGAAAACCCAGCCTGTGATGTCCTGCTGAGCTCTGGTGCCAGTGAGAGGCAGGGACTCGAGCCACCACATGGCACAGGGCATTGTGCAAATGATCAGGGTGTGATCCCCATTGCCTGCCATTCAGCAAAGACTGTTCCTGGAGCTGGTGTCCGTGAAGGTACCCCTTAGATTTTCAGGAAGGACATAAGGGACAGAAAATTCCACAAAATCTTGTCAGCACAGGGCCAGCAGRTTCTGTTCTTTTGGGTTTTTCTCCTTAGACATGCTCCAAAATATTTTGCAGTTAAATGTGGAGCGATGGAAAACACAGAGTACTGGGCAGACTTTCCTAGGGGAACAGTGCATAAATTATTCCCTTTCTGGACAAGTTTTGTTTGTACCATCCCCAATTCAGTTAAGTCTTCGGGAAAGGAGTGGAGCATGGGGACAACATCACCATCTTCGGAAAATTATTATTTGCTGAGAGCTTTCTCAGCAGGGCAGCACAGCCACTTCAACACCTGCATATCTCAGAGGCCAACAAACTCTACCAAGATCCAGAAAGGCAATATCCAGGCCTTTTCCCTTCCTTCCTCCCCAGCACCCTGCCTATGCACTTGCATGCTCTTTATTACAGCAATCTGGATTTACATCAGCAGGAACTGGAGTCACACATGCCACACTTCAAAGCTCCCTCCCTGCGTGTGAGGGAGCTGCTGATAGCAGCAGATAGTGGTGTCTGCAGATCACAAGTGAAGTGAAAGTCTGCTGAGCTGCCCAGACAGACACCACTCTGGTTTGAGTCGTTATCCTTTTCCACCTGTTCTCAACGGGATGGATGAGAAAGGATAGCTCATGTTCAAACACCAGGTCAGCTGTGTCCGCCCTTGCAAAATAAACATTTGATGTCAGKGAAGAAAATTAATGGGATGGTATTTCAGATACTTCCTTTCCCTTCACGCATTTCTCRGGGGTTTTATCAAAAGCAAAGAGAGTGAATAATAAAGTCCTAGTAAGCACTAAGACTCTCCTGGAAAAAACAATGTTGAGTGCTCCACCAAGGCCTGGCAGCTGTCAGCATGGATGACACTTTTCCTCCACAAGTCCATGCCCATGCCCTGTATTATCATGGCACAGCCATGTGCTGGCCACCCCCTGTTCCACACACATGGACAGGGAGCAGATGGGGAAAAAGGTGTCAGCAATGTCACCTGCRCTGGGGGCTGCTGGCTGATGTCTGAGCCTGCACTGTGCTGAAGGTTTTCAGAATGATGGTTGAGGCCTGGGGAGGACTGGCCAGCCTCCTGAACCCATCCCAGTGTCACTTCACTGCCAGCCTGTGGAAAAGCAGGTCTGGCTCAGGGCAGGTGCCAGGGAAGACTGGCTGTGCCCAAACAGCCCCTGCACAGGTTCCCTGCTCATCTCTAAGGTGCACCCATTTGGGCTCAGCAGCCTTTGGGGCAGCTCCCTGTTCCCAGCCTGATGGAACAGCCAGAGCAAGGGCTGTGTGAGCAGCAGCCCCAGCCTGGATGTGCTGCCGGTAAAGGCCGGGTGCTGCCGGGATCRGCAGTGGCTCAGTAGGTGGCACTCTGCACCCACAGGGAATCAGCACGGTCCCAAAGGTGAGCCCTGCCCTMGCAGCCCCAGCAGCCTGCCTGCAGGACCCCCGGCAGTGGGGCAGCCCTGGGSTGAGCCTTGCAGCTCCCCCAACCTTCTCCTCCTTGCACCACTCCAGGGAGCTTCCTCTGGAGGTTCATCCTGGGGACAGGCTCCAAATGTCCTTCCAGCCCCGAAAGAGGGCAACAGCCTAGCTTAGTGCATCTCCCTCACAGCACACAGAGAGCTGGGGCCTGCAGCAAATCCCACCTCTGGAGGATGTTCCCTGCAAGAAACAGCCGAGCAGGGCTTGCCCAGGATGCTGCCATTTTGGAACCTCTCCCTGCATGTCTCACCAGGTACCCATCACCATCTTGCTGCTCTATGTGGACTCTGCACACTTGTGCTCGTTGATGCCAGGCAACTTCTTCAAGGACCCAGGAGGAGCAGGAGGAAGTTGATGAAATGACAAATTCAAAGCACACCAAGCCTAATTCCTCGCTGCTGGCATCAGGGAGATGGAGCTACCAGCTGGAGACTGGAGAAGAGAGGGAACACGGTGAGTCAGACACTGGATACGCTGTGTTTGGTCTCTAAACAGTGCAGGCAATACGGGCAATTGCACTCGGGGCATTCAACCTTTCCCCACTAAGCCTCTTCCAGTTGCTCAGCAGTTAGCCAAGCGCAGCATGTGGGGCTGCAATGGTCAGTATATTCCTCGGATTGGGCTTTAAAACATTAAAATGTTTACAGTGAATCTCTGATTTTTAAAAAAATGGGAGAAATATTTAGTTTTAACAGCTGAAAAATAAGAAAGTTCACAAAGAAAACKGTGGTGCCTGGCTGAGTCAGCCAGATTTGAGCACAGCAGGAGGGAGGAAGGGAGGATTCCTGGTTGACAAACCAGGCTATTCTCAGATCACCAGCCCCAAATTKCAGCAGTAGAGACCCCAAACCCCAAAGTCTCTGACTTTGGAGAAACTCCCCTTCCAGGGAAATGATCTCTGTGGACTCCAGGCCCTGGGACCTAGGAAGGTCTTGTGGGAAGGGAACTTCAGGCCTAAGGGGAAAGGTTGGGCCCTGTGAAGCCCCTAGGTGTTCCCAAACAGCCCGGGAGCTGCTTGTTGGCTGCCTGTAGAGCTCTCTTATGTGGGGTTGCAGTGATGAGCAGGATTTGCCTTTTCTCYGCTGTACATCTGAGGACAGGCAGCAAAGGGGAAACACAACAAAAACCCCAGCAGTAAAGTTGTCAGCTCGTGCCAGATGGTTTTAATTGCACCATGCACAAAAGGGCTGTCAAAGATTTGCTGGAGCTGTCTGTGTCAAGTTGTCATCTGAGTGACAGATTCAGCATCTTCTTCTCCAGGYCTTTTGGGTATTGCCTCTTGGGATTGGCATGAACTGGCACAGGAACSCTGGGAGCCAGATATCATGTGTGCCTGTGGAAGAAGGGAAAAGGTTCAATGACTGAGCAACTTGGATCCCTGCCATCTCGAGCAAAGGCTCCCTAAGCTTCATGAGCTGTAACATTCTGTCCTCTRTCAGGTAGAAGGTCCAGATCCTCCTTTCTCCACACAGCATTGCCACCCACTGCCTTCCCAGCCCACTGTGCCACGGGAGCGGAGCAGGATCCCTTCATCCTCGACTGCCTGGCTTTCTCTGGGTTCCCGTGCTAGACCAGCTTGTTACAACCCACTGGCCCAGGTTTTCTCTCCTTAAAGCAGCAGTTCTCTTTACAATTACCCAAAAGGAGGTTGTAGTGGTGTGGAGCCCATCCTTTCTGTCATGCCTGCAGTGAGAGTATTAGAGGAAATGGCCTTGAGACGGGGAGATTCAGATTAGATATTAGAAAAACGTTTTTGTTGTTTGGGTGCTCAGGAAGGAGAACAGGTTGCCCAGGGAGGTGGTGGAGTCACTGTCCCCGGGAGGTGTTGAAGGGCTCTCTGGATCTGGCGCTAGGTGACATATCAGTTTAGTGCTGTGGGGGTTACAGTGGCACTGCTGGGTTGATGGCTGGGCTTGCTGATCTCACAGGTCTCTTCCAGCCTCGGTGATGCTGTGATTCTACAGCAGGTCTGCTTCCAGCTTCTCCACACAAGAGCCCAGAGAAGTGGCCGTGGGGAGATGCCCTCCAGGGAGCTCTGCCAGTGCATCTGTGAGCCGCGGTGCCCCCGAGGAGCACATTTGTCCCTGCCCGGTGGGTATGACCGCATACTCAGCCCTTACTCATGCGCCGCTCAGGGAGATTTATTAATCACCGGGGGAGGGGGCGAGATGGCCGGGTTTATTACCCACCCGAGRCGCGGGGAAAGCAAGGAGCACGGAGCTGGCCGACAGACAGGTGTGCCCACAATAATCCAGCGTGTCCCCGACGCCGTGACCCGGGCGGGATCCAGGCTGCCCGAYCTCTGCAAGTGTTCAAAGCCAGCTYGGACCGGGCTRGTCCGTGCCCAGGGCAGGCGGRTGGAACGAGGTGCTRTTCAMAGCCCCTTCCMGCACAAATCATGTTCGGATTCTGTGATTCTGATTCTAGGATTTGTGGAACTCCGCCCCGCTGACGTCAGTCCCCGTCCGCGCCCCCAGCTCCAGCGCCCATAAAGCGGGCGGCGTTGGCAGGCGGCTCCTCATGGAGCGTTGTGCGCCGCCGGCACCTGTGGTGATACGGCCCGTCCTTCCCACGTCTGCTCAGTGTCTCTGCTGCCACCCGCCCCGGGACGGACCATGCGTGCCGTGCTGCTGATGGCCGCGCTGGCTGTGCTGGCAGGTGCGCGCGGGG